AGAAGAGAGGGGAAAGGGCAGAAAAGAGAAGAGAAGGGAGAGAAGAAAGAGCAAGAAGTCGTTTGGTGGAAGGGGGGATATATTGATAGAAGTTTGAGATCTAGAACAAGAGAACTGAGTACAACCAAACCCCTCACTGACCTCAGTGTGAATCACTGCATCAGGGAAGATTAAAACTGGAAGTAGGGAGACCAGCTAGGAGAAGGATCTAGTAATTACTGCAGTGGTTCAGGTTAAAATCACTAAGGCAATGGCAGTGGGAATGGAGTGGAGAGAATTCAAGAGATGGGAAATGGAATAGAGGCAAGTATACAGAAAAGAGTGCACATTTTCAGTAAGGAAGATTAAAGTTGAAGCCCATCTGTACCAGTTCCTAGCTATAAGATGATTTAATAATCTTCTCGGAGCCTTAACTTTAAGATCCCATCTTTAAAACGAAAATGATAATACCTACCTAGCAGGGTGCCCACCAGGGATCCATGCAGAATAGCTAGACTGTTCAGTCATACCTATAGAGCTGATGATAACGGTGGTAACATGGCTTCTGCTGGCTTGGATAACTCTGCTCAGTACCATCTCCAGGATGGTCCTAACATTGCTCAATAGAGTTAATTTCTTCTTATTCCATGTTCTCATCATGCCTTGTTCATAACTCCTGTTATAGCACTTTGCACATTGCTTTAATTATTTGTTTTCCTGTCTCCCCAACTAAACTGTGTGAGCTGGAAGATAGGGATTCTGCACCATTCTGGGCAGGCACTTGGTATTTCCAGTGCCTATGACCACAGTGCCTGCTACGTAGTAATTAGTGATTGTTAAGTGGTTTAAATGTTTTGTACAATGAAAAGATTTTAATCATGCTGTGAAATCAGTACCTCAAAAGTTACCACTTTTTAAAAGAAACCTTAATTTGTTACAGCTTCGGCAATTATCCCGTGTGAACCATCCTAATATTGTAAAGCTGTATGGAGCCTGCTTGAATCCAGTAAGTTTGTCACTTTTTCATTGTCATCTGTCTATGAGAAATGACATGGCAGATGTGTACAAGTGTGTAGTTTATGAAGCTGTCTTGATCTGCTATCTTAGATATATGTCTGAAAGAACAGTTGTACTTTATGCATTTTTTTTGTTTCTAGTCTTTTAGCAAAACAGTGTAAGAGTTGTTTTAGGTGGTCTTATCAAATAACTTCATCTTCTTATGAAGCTTTTGATATC